ACCTCCAAGGGTCCTTGGGTGCCTGACCAAAGCCAGCCCCTATCCAAGGGTCCGAGTTTGTCGAAAGCGAATTTCAGTTGTAAAAAACTGCAGCAGCAGAAGCCCTATATCACGGCGTAGTCAGAGAATCCTTAGTAGTTAAAACATAATCGTAGTAGCAGTGTGGGAGAGTGCTTGATAGGCAAAGTATATGTTCCATAATTCAGAGCATACATATTTACAGCCTCAAGGCTGTTCGTAATGCTAACTATCTAACACCTCTATACAATGCCTATTGTGAACGCTGCGCGAACATTTCGCGTTTTGCTAGATTCAGGGTGTGATCTGGCAGGTTGGCGCCTCGCCGGCGAGTCATTTCGAAAATGCTCGCGCCAAGACTTATTTTGACGACCACGATTCGGGAAAGAGAGTTCGCGCCATTTTAATAACGACTCGGATCAATTCGTTCAAACGGTGTTCGAAAAGTCAAGTTCGAAACTCCACTCGCTAGCTGAGTTGGCAGAAGACTCCTTGCTCAAAACACGTGAGCAGGTGTGCGTGTTCCTTATGTTCGGTGTAGCCGTTTCGGATGTTCACAGCACGCGAACAGGCTGCTCGAGCAGTTGTTGAGAATAGTGGCATAAGTAGGAGTTAGGTTTAGGGCCTAGGCTTGGTAGCCTAGGCCAAGGGGGAGTCGAGAAAGTTGTGCCAAGGGAGAAAGTCGAGAATGGGAATAATGTTCACTATAGCACTAGGGTACATATAGCAAACAGAGCTTGCAAAGAAGGTGCACCACCAACAGTTTATAATAACTACACTAAACTACAGCTACAGGCAGTTACAGATATATTCTAACAGCAGTATCCAATCAGCTCCCTCGAATAGCTGCGTTTTGAACATCAACGTTCTGAACAGTTATCTTATTGTCAGAACTATACTATAGGCTGTAGTGGGGCACTCCTTATGGGGTACAGCCCTGTTAGGTTTTGCCTATACAAAGTTGTAGTGTTCTCTTTCTAGTCCATCATGGTATCAGAGCAGGTTCCCTAGTGGGAACGTTTTTTTAGGGCCCACCACGAACTTTTTTTTCAGCCCTGCACGAAGCGTACTGCCATGCCTGCTTGCCCCGTCACGCGACTTGCGCCTACCTAACCGCGTCCTAGAGCGCCTGCCCTGCCCGCGCCCTCGAGCGCCTGCCCTGCCCGCGCCCTCGAACGCCTGCCCGGCGCCCTGCCCTGCACGCCGCGCGCGGGCCTGCCCTGCACCCGCGACGCCGCCCCTGGACCCCGTGGCGCCGCCCCTGGACCCCGCGACGCCGCCCCTGGACCCCGCGATGCCGCCCCTGGACCCTGCGACGCCCCTGCTGCACCTCCAGCAGCTCCAGTAGCGCCAACTCCAGCACCCCTAGGAGCACCGGCTCCAGCAGCACCTCCAGCAGCTCCAACTCCAGCAGGACCACCAGAAGCCCCAGCAGCTCCAGTAGCGCCAGCTCTAGTACCCCCAGCAGCACCTGCTCCAGCAGCACCACCAGCTCCAGCACATCCAGTAGCTCCAGCTCCAGTAGCACCACCAAGCCCAGCAGCTTTAGTACCTCCAGTACGAGCACTTCCGGGGGAAGAGACGGTAAAAGGGAACCGACTCGTCAAATGTGACGTCCTGAGAAGACAGTACACGGCGCAAGGTGGGGTGGTAAAACTGCCAACCAGGCGCGTCAGGGGGGAAGCCAAGGAAGACGCAAGGAAATGCACGGGAGGACAGCTTGTCCGCAGACAAGTCGCGGACGAAAGCTCGAGATCCTTAGACACGGAACGCAGACGCATCGCCAACCTTCCCCGTCCACCGCAGAGCAGGGGAGGTCTCCGGCATGGAGACTCGGGGCTGAAGGTTGATCTGATGCGCAGCGTATTGAACCGCGAACGGCCACAGAAAATGGGGAGCAGCCGCATGGATCATGGATGTACGAGCGACGTCCATGACCATGCCAATGCGGCGCTCAACAATCCCATTTTGCTGCGGAGAGGCCGGAAGCGTGAACGTCTGGTGGATGCCTTCCCCGCTCTCTCCCTCCCCTTCCCCCGGGGCCAGCCCCTACCTATGTTCCTTGCGTCGAGGGGCGGCAACGCGCTGCTCCTCACTTCTCTGAGACGAGGCAGGGAGGGGTGACTATGGCGGTGGTGCCGGAGGAGAGTCTGGTGAGACAGGAGGTGACACGAGCAGGGGGCAGACTCAGGACCAGACCTGGACGTTGCAGCAAACACCTGACCCGACGCGGCTACCTGACCAGACTCAACAACCGGAGGACACACGGTAGTCAGGGTGTAAAGGCTCGACCCAGGCTGACGGTTGAACGTGGCCAGGTGCCGACCCGTCCGAGTTTACGAACAATGGGTCACCCGCTGACCTCTAGGAGTGAACTGGTCAACCCACGCATTCTGAAGGTCAGCTCCACTCACCAAGTTCGTGGAGAACGAGGGGAGGTGGAGGACAGACAGAGAGCCAGATGGGACCGCCGGACATGGCAAAACGGTGGAGGAGTGTGCAAGGACCGGGCCCCCAGAGGGGTCAGCCAGAGAGATTTCCACCGGCCGACTGAGCGGCGTGAGTGTGGTGCAGTCGCGAAAGAAGGAGCGGGAAGCTCCTGAGTCAAGCGTGAATGTGTGCAAGGCCGCAGCAGGCGCAGTACCAGAGAGAGCAGACTCACCCGCACCTGGAGCAGTAGACTCACTAGCGTCTAGAGCAACAGCCTTACCAGCACCTAGAGCAGTAGACTCCATACCTGGGTTAGGCGGCACACACAGGTAATAGGCACACTCAGCACTAGTAGGCAATACATACATGGCAGTAAGGATAGTATCATAGTCAAGAGCAAAGATATCTACCCTCTGCCTAAGCAAATCCAGCCAGGAGGGGAGCTCAATGTCGTCGCCAAACTCTGTACGCCAGGCATCGCTCAGACAGGAGAAGCAGCGGGACTCTGTGTGACCAACCGTTCCGCAAGGCTGACCAGCCCGAGCACCTGTGTGAATGACGTACGGGCAGCGAGCAGTACTCCGTGACCCTCTAGTCTGAGTGTACCACTCACGAAGCTGCTGGGGCGAAAGGATCTCGCGCGGACACTGCTGTAGCTGCACCTGGCCACTACAAGAAGCTCCCGAACTACCCGCTCCAGGGCGACTCCCACCACGGCCAGCCCTACAACCCCAAGTAGCGTACCACTCACGAAGCTGCTGGGGCGAAAGGATCTCACGCGGGCGACGCTGCAGCTGCACCTGGCCACTACAAGAAGCTCTCGAACGACCCGCTCCAGGGTGACTCCCACTACGGCCACCCCTACAACCCCAACTAGCATACCACTCACGAAGCTGCTGGGGCGTGAGGGACTTACGCGGATGTTGCTGGAGCTGCATCTGGCCACCGCCAGTAGCAGCAGGAGTGGCAGTGCACCAGAAGTAGAAGTGACAGCTGGAACAGCAGGGCAGAGCAGCGCGGCTCAATAGGGCAGGGCGGCGCGGCTCGGCCGAGCGGCGCGGCTCGGTTGGCAGGCAGGCACAGCACGCGCAGCAGCATGCTAGTAAGGCAGGCGCGCGGGCAGTGCGGGTAGGGCAGGTGCTCACCAGAGGCGGGTAGGGCAGATGCCACCGGCGGCGGTGGGCAGGCGCTCAACGGGCATGGGTAGGGCAGGTCCGGCGCTTAGCTGGTGGCTGTAGGCGCTCGACGGGCGGCTGCAGCGGGGCCGCGACGGCGGATACGACGGGGCCGCGACGGCGGCTGCAGGCACGACGGCGGCTACGGCTGGGCAGGGCCGCGACAGCGGCAACGGCGGGGCAGGGCCGCGACAGCGGCTACGGCGGGGCCGCGACGGCTGCTGCAGACGCGATGGCGGCAGGGCAGGGAAGGGGCGGCCGCCCCAAGGGCGGGCGCAGGGTAGGGCAGGGCGCGGGCAGGCCGCAGATGAGGCAGGGCGCGGCGGCCAGGGGGCGCCGCGACGAGCAGGGGCGATGCCGCGCGGGTCCCGCAGGGACGTCTCGACGAGCAGGAACGGCGCCGCGCGGGTCCCGCAGGGACGTCGCGACGAGCAGGAACGGCGCCGCGCGGGTCCCGCAAGGGCGTCGCGACGAGCAAGGGCAACGCCCGGGTCCCGCAGGGGCGTCGGGACGAGCAGGAGCGGCGCCGCGCGGTTCCCGCAGGGGCGTTGCGTCAGGGACCACTTCCTCTCTGTTTGCCCCACCACTCTCACCGCTGACCTCCTCAAAGAGCGCCTCCTGGCATCAGAGAAAAGTATAGTCGCTGTAGGAGCCTCTCGTGGTGACCCTCGTACCCCCTTCTTTGAGGGGTGTTCCCCCTCCCCCCTCTTGCCCTCTGTTGCCTCTACTGCTGCGGCAGACCTAGTTGGTCTTGAGTCGGTTGGCGCGGCGTCTGTTCTTAGCGAGAGACGCCGCACTGGCAAGGGCAAGGGGGGCAAGGGCGCTGGAGGAGCTGGAGGGGGTGGTGGAGGTGGCGGTGGAGGCGGCGGAGGGGGTGGTGGTTGGGGTGGTGGCGGGAGTGGGGGTGTCGGTGGCGGCAGTGGAGGCGGAGGAGGCGGCGGCGGTGGCGGCGGGAGCGGAGGAGGCGGCGGCGGTGGCGGCGGGAGCGGAGGAGGCGGCGGTGGCGGCGGTAGTGGAGGTGGCGGCGGCGGCGGTGGAGCTGGTCGGGGTGGCTCTGCGCAGAGAGGTGGCTCCGGTGGTGGTCCGCGCCAGCAGCAGCAGCGCGCTCGTGAGACCCCGTCCCCCCAGCAGCTTCATGAGTGGTACGCTGCGCGTCAGCCGGGCGGGGGTGCTGGTCCTTGTACCTACGTCCTGCGTACCGGCGACCGCACTGGTGAGACGTGCGGAGGCCCTCACCCCACCCAGCACTGATTCGGCCGCCTGACGGACGCTTGGCGTCTCCAGTTCCCTGGCGCCACTGAGATCCCTCGCTTGGGCGAGCTCTTTAGGTCGGGGGTTGCAATCTTTGATCTAGACTTTGATGCTATTATTGCTGCCATGTATGCTGTGTCTACTAGTGATAAGGGTGACTGTTACCTGTGTGTCCCGCCTGACCCGGGCATTGAGGCTGCTGCTCTAGGTGCTGGTGAGGATGCTGCTCTAGGTGCCAGTGCGTCTGCTGCCCTAGGTGCTGGTGCGTCTGCTCTCTCAGATACCACGTCGGCTCAGGCATGTCACACCTTCACCCTTGACTCGGGTGCTTCCCCCTCCTTCTTTCGAGAACGCACCACACTCACGCCACTTAGTCGGCCAGTGGCGGTCTCTCTGGCAGACCCCTCTGGGGGTCCTGTTCTTTCCCACTACTCCACTGTCCTACCATGTCCGGCGGCCCCTTCTGGCACCCTGTCAGGTCTTTACCTCCCCTCGTTCTCTACGAACTTGGTGAGTGGTGCTGACCAACAGGATGGAGGGGTTCACCAGTTCACTCCTGCAAGTCAGCGAGTGACCCACTGTACGTGTGCTCGGTCGGGCCGACACTTGGCCACGTTTACCCGTCGGCCGGGATCGAGCCTGTACACACTGACCACTGAGTCTTCTCCGGTCACTGAGTCTGGTCAGGTAGCTGCGTCGGGTCAGGTGTTTACTGCCGCGTCTAGTTCTGGCCCTGATTCTGCCCCCTGCTCATGTCGCCTCCTGTCTCACCAGACTCTCCTCTAGCACCACCGCCTTGGGCAGCGCGCCGCACCTCACTCCTCCGAGTTTCCTCCGACAGAGGCTCCGCTGCAGACGCTTCACCTGGACGTGTGGGGCCCGGCCCGCGTCCGTGGACAGGGTCACGAGCGTTACTTCCTGCTGGTGGTTGACGACTACTCGCGTTACACCACGGTCTTCCCCTTGCACAGGAAGGGTGAGGTCACTGAGGTGTTGATCGATTGGATCCGCGCAGCTCGTCTCCAGCTCAGAGAGAGTTTCGGCTCGGACTTTCCTGTTCTGCGTCTGCACTCCGACAGAGGCGGAGAGTTTTCCTCTGACCTTCTGCGAGCCTTCTGCCGTGCACGAAGCATCCGCCAGACGTTCACGCTTCCGGCCTCTCCACAGCAAAATGGGATTGCTGAGCGCCGCATTCGCATAGCCATGGACGTCGCTCGTACGTCCATGATCCATGCGGCTGCTCCCCATTTTCTGTGGCCGTTCGCGGTTCAGTACGCGGCGCATCAGATCAACCTTCAGCCCCGAGTCTCCATGCCGGAGACCTCCCCTGCTCTGCGGTGGACGGGGAAGGTTGGCGATGCGTCTGCGTTCCGTGTCTAGGGATCTCGGGCGTTTGTTCGCGACTTGTCTACGGACAAGCTGTCCCCTCGTGCTACTCCTTGCGTCTTCCTGGGGTTCCCCCCTGACGCGCCTGGGTGGTAGTTCTACCACCCCACCTCGCGCCGTTTTCTGTCCTCCTAGGACGTCACGTTTGACGAGTCGGTTCCCTACTACCATCTCTTCCCCTACCGCACTGCACCCCTCCCCCCGCCTCCGCTCTTCCTCGCGCCAGGTCCCCCCCAGGTAGACCCCCTTCCCCCTCAGGGTCCTGCCCCCTCAGGTGTGTCCCAGGTAGACGCAGTCGAGCCTGTCGAGGTAGCTGTTGACTCTTGTACTTGTGGGGGTGTTGCGCCTGCGGGTGCGGGGTCTGGGGGTGCTGACTCTGGGGGTGCTGAGCCTTGGGGTGCTGAGCCTGGGGGTGCTGAGCTTGGGGGTGCTGACTCCGGGGGTGCTGAGCCTTGGGGTGCTGAGCCTGGGGGTGCTGAGCCTAGGGGTGCTGAGACTGGGGTTGCAGAGCCTGAGGGTGCTTGGCCTGCTCGTGTGGCGTCTGGCGGTACTGGGTCTAGAGGTCCTTCGGGTGCTTCGTCCCGGCGGGAGCTACTCTCTCCACAGGAGCTGCGCGAGTGGTTTGCACGGCGCTGGAGCCGTGCTGCTAGAGCCGGAGGTGCTGCTGGTGTTGGAGGTTCTACTGCTGCTGAGGGTTCTGGTTCCACAGGTCCCGGAGGTGCTCGTACTGGAGGTACTGCAGCTGCTGGGCCTGCGGGTACTCTTTGTGCTGGAGCTGCTGGAGGTGCTGGAGCTGGAGCTGCTGGGGGTGTTGGCGCTGGAGGTGCTGCTGATGCTGGTGCTTCTGAGGGTGCTGGTGTTGGCGCTGCTGGAGCTGGTGCTGCTGGCGCGGCTGGAGCTGGGGGTGCTACTGGAGCTGGTGCTGCCGTTGGGGGTGCTGGTGTTGGAGCTGCTGTTTCTGCTGGTTCTTGGGGTGCTGCACGGCCGCGGCCGTAATTCGTTCCGCTCCTTGAGCAGGTTCTTGGTCTTCCGCCCTCTACTAGTCCTGCTCCTCAGAGTGTCAAACACGTGTCCTGTCCGAGTCACAGTTAAAGCCCGCCTCCCCTCTGCCTGCTCCTTCTCCCTACACAAGTCCTATTGGAGGTCCTGCTGAGCGTCGTGAGCCTGCGTCTCATCCTGCGTCGCCTGTCCGTGCTGCTCGCACTAGTGGTCGTAGTTCGCGTCAGCGTCCTCCTTCTGTCCCCGGTGCGCACCGGATGTCTCTGCGTCCTTCCACTGCTCCGCTGCGTGTCCCTTTGTCGTCTCCTCCAGAGTCCTCTCTTCCTGCTCTTCCGGACCCGGAGTCGGACTCCCTTCGTGCTACTAGTCCTACTGTCTCTCACCTCCTTGCTACTGTTTTCACTGACCCTTCTTTTGAGTCCACTACTGCGTCTGCCTTGCTGAGCTTGTCGACTTCGCTGCTCGCTGTCGTCTAGACTACACTGCTAGTCTTGTTGCTGAGTCTGATTCTGTCTGTCCTCCGTCCGTCGGGGGTGAGTGTGCCCTTGGCACGGACGTCCTTGAGGATAGGCAGGAGGAGTTCCAGTGTTTTGCTGCTGCTTCACCTCATCTCGTGTCCATGCTGCTTGCCCCTGAGGGAGACCAGGATGCACCAGACATCCCGACTCCGCGTTCTTACGCAGAGGTGATAGAGGGTCCCTACTCCTCTCAGTGTCAGGCAGCCATGGACGCAGAGATGGCTTCCTAGAAGTCCACAGGCACCTACGTCGATGAGGTTCCCCCACATGGGGCGAACATCGTCGGTGGCATGTGGATCTTCAGGATGAAGAAGCTGCCGGGTTCTCCGCCTGTCTTCAAGGCGCGTTACGTGGCTCGAGGCTTCAGTCAGCGACAGGGAGTTGACTACTTTCAGACCTTCTCTCCCACCCCGAAGATGACCACTCTTTGGGTGCTGCTGCACATAGCCGCTCAGAGCGACTACGAGCTTCAATCTCTTGACTTCAGCACTGCTTTCCTGCAGGGCAGCCTGCACGAGGAGATCTGGCTGCGCCGCCCACCTGGCTTCACTGGGTCATTTTCTCCTGGTACCCAGTGGAGCCTCCGGCGGCCAGTCTACGGTCTCCGCCAGGCGCCCCGTGAGTGGCACGACACACTGAGGACTACACTTGCGACTCTTGGGTTTGCTCCTTCTACTGCCGACCCGTCGCTGTTTCTACGCACCGACACCTCTTTGCCGTCGTTCTACATCCTCGTGTACATCGACGACTTGGTCTTTGCCACAGCTGACACTGCTGGACTCGCCCACGTGAAGTCCGAGCTGCAGAAGAGACACACTTGCACAGACCTGGGTGAACTGCGTAGCTACCTTGGCTCGGGACAGAGCACAACGCACCATTACCCTGACTCAGTCACACATGGTGCAGCAGGTCCTTCAGCGCTTCGGCTTCACGTACTCCTCGCCTCAGGCCACTCCTCTGTCTACTCGCCACTCGCTCTCAGCTCTGCCTTCGGATGAGTCCGTAGAGCCGAGTGGCCCGTACCCAGAGCTTGTTGGCTGCCTCATGTACCTGATGACCTGCACTCGACCTGACCTTGCATACCCTCTTAGCATTCTGGCACGCTATGTTGCTCCAGGGAGACACAGACCTGAGCACATGGCTGCAGCGAAGAGGGTGTTGCACTACTTGTGCAGTACGTCGGGCATGGGGCTCGTGTTTGGAGGGCGTAGTCCAGTGGTCCTCACAGGTCACGCAGACGCTTCTTGGTTTGACGACTTGGCTACGCAGCGGTCGTTACAGGGTTACACCTTCGGCCTTGGTTCCGGCTCTATTTCGTGGCGGTCTACCCGCTCGTCTTCTGTTCTCAGCTCCAGTTGTGAGGCTGAGATCTTTACCAAGGCACTTCAGCCTTGTGATCATCAACGTTTTTGTACTATGTTAGGTCTTGTGCCTACCTGGCCTCACTTGCTCACCTCTTGACTTTGCTTGTATTGTGATCTATATATACCTACACCTGCATGCTTATACTTGCTAGGTTGTGATCACTGTACTACTTGTTCTCTTCTTTATATATATCTGCATGTGAACTGGCCTTGTGGCCTTTTGCTTGTGCTTAGATTGCGTGGTGACGTCGTGATCCACCCTGAGCTTGACCTTTGCTTTGTTCTTTTGCTTGTCCCCCACTTTGCCTATGGGGATGTGTCAGAACTATACTCTAGGGCTGTAGTGGGGCACTCCTTATGGGGTACAGCCCTGTTAGGTTTTGCCTATACAAACTTGTACTGTTCTCTTTCTAGTCCATCATTTTCCTTGTTCTAACTTCCACAGTTATGAACATCGGTGTTTTGAACAGCACTGTTCCGAACAGCACTGAATTGATTCCACCACTCTGATTGGTCAAACTATGTTCAGAACAGCACTGTTCGGAACAACACCGTTCTAAACGGCCGCGCGAACCGATTTCGCCACTGTGAATTGTCGAGCTGAAATCTTGAACTTCGAATGAAAACTTCGAGCAGAATCTAGTGCTCTTATTGGTCAAAGCAGAAAAACGTTTTTGAACCCTCGATTGTGGTGGATCCGCTTCACCGTTTTAGCTCTTACTTGAGAATGGAGTTGAGCACTCCTCCAGCAAACTGGCAGATTGATGTACAGAATATTAATTATGTATTAACAGCGAGATGATCTGTTGGAAATGCATTTTTGCTTAATTGAACGGCCTAAGAATTTCAGCGCATTATCATTTTTGTTATGAGACGTCGAACATTTTGTTGGTGAATGGGATATCAAAACATCAATATCCACCCTGATTTTGACCATATTTGGTCTCGAAATGTCAGAATATTTATAGCATTGTCTAATGGAACAAGCAGGAAATAATCACCACTTGAATGATATGGTTTAGTGAAAAAATAAACACTAAACGCCATATCGCAAGACATATAGGGTCAATGCTTACATGTTCGCATGTTATGTTTATATTCTCCCGTGCTTTTGTTGCGCGCTCTTGTAAGAGACAAATTGACAATTACAGTTTACGACATAGAAGTATGGTACAAATTGGAATAAAAACTTCATGTACTTCAGCTTGGGTAAAAAAGCCAAACGGTTGATGGCGAACAGAATTAAGGGTAAATTTACATAATTAACGGTTGATATAGTTCATGTGAGAATCTGAGGAAGGAATGATTGCATTGAGCAGCATGAGGAGTACAAGTAGGAAACCCTAAAGTGTTGTACCCCATATTGATTACCCCACTACAGCCTAAACAGACTATAGCATATAAGTTCGACACACCCCCATAGGCAAAGTGGGGGAGAACAAGGGAAGCAAGGCAAGCCCAGGGTGGATCACAACGTCACCACACAATCTGAGCACAAGCATAAGGCCACAGGGCCAGT